GTCACAATTTTTTGTTATCGGCTAATGTCTTCTTGAGAATTTAAACTATCATCTTTTTTAAAGCTTCTGCTAGATCATTTATCTTTGGATAATAAATTGTAGAATATCTTCAATCTGTCTTGTGTCTTATAGTAAAAATTGTTATCTTTGTGTTCTTGAAGGCAGAATGATTGTATGAGATTAAGCTTAGAGGAGCATCAAATATGCAGACGATCTGATTCATAAAATTATAAGACATGATGAGCTTTGACCTCACTCCGTGGCACTATCTTCAATAACACAAAGATCAGCAAATGGCATAATAAATTAATCATGCAAATGATCTCATTTATCAACTATATATCCTCCACTGGTTTAAGTTAACTATAAGATAGAACACGTGCATTACAACATAATAAAAAAAATGAACAAATAAATAGTTGCTTAGCTTTTGAAAGACGATGAGATTAAGGCTTTAAAGATAAAACATGTGCATCACAGCATAAAAAAAAATGAACAAATAAATAGTTCCTTAGCTTTTGAAAGACGATGAGATTAAGGCTTTAATTACGTTGCTAATCCATATTTTATCAATTACGTTGCTAATCCATATGTTATCAAGTATTTTTGTTCTTGATGATCATCGCTTTAGACAACATTGATCACTTTAGTTTCTCTATTGTCGATTTAAATTCCTTTTTTTGTTGCTTGAAGCTTCTTGCTCGTACATTTATTGATGGATTACGTTTGTGAATGATAGGGTTTTGATCTTATCCACACACCATAATTAGCTTAATGGCTCATTTAAGTAACGTATGCACTAATAACAATCAAAATAATTGCCAGCATAAGTAAATAACTTCTTTAAATAGAAAGAACAAAAAATTAAAACATGGAAAAAAATTGATTTGACAAATGAATTTCATTGCCTTAAATTGAATGGAATAAAAATTTGTAATTATGAGGTATTTGTCTAAATAAATATTATAATGAGAGAAAACCAAAACATCCAAGATCATTAAACTAATTATGAGGTCTTTAAGGCTCTTAAATGCTAAAAAAAATCTATGGTAAAAATAATCAATTTGCATTGTCCAATAAATTGTTTTGGAAGTTTATCCAAATCTATCAAAACATGATTACTCTACAAAATTAAAAGTAAGCGTCTATTCTTTACGAAAACTTGAGTTTAATTTTGCATGTAAGATTAGAGAGCTTAAAAATTTGAAAATCTTTGTAGCCCAATTTAAAAAATGATGGAGACAATCATTACAACAACCGTCATAAATTGACCAAATTCATTTGTTAGCATTTTTTTACTCTAATATGTTGTTCAATCCTATAATTGCCTTACAACTTCAATTATTTGTATACCTCATTTGATCGTAATTGTATGACTATCATTACTTGACTTGCTTATAGATTTTCTAATATCTAGATAATGTTGCCTACCGACCATCCTTAACTATCATATCATAACTAGAATCACCTTCTACACAATAATGTTGATGCAAACCATCATCAATAAGCTTGATGTATGTCATCAATACTAACGCCAAAGCACACCATTACCAAAAGGTTATTGAACACTACACATTAAGAACCTCACAAACCATTGTGAAGAAGACAAGTGTGTTGACAACACCAACATTGATGCATTCCATTATTGAGAATTTTGATAAATCAAAACAAACACTATGACCAACATTGATGCATGTCATTTATTTTAGCATGTCAAGCCACTCAGAATATTGTGTTAGATATCTGAGTAGAGCAAGAAAAAATTGATTGGGCATTGATTATAAAGTCTAAATGTAGATCACTATTGAGGTACAAAACATTGTTGAACTTACTTAAATGTTAAATTTTGATATTCCCCTTGATTCTATTGAGCAAGGGATAAACTTGGAGGATGTCACTAGGCGTATCAAGAAGTTATTTGCGCTGTGGATGAGTCTGATGATGATATAAATAAAAAAAATTTCAAGTTCATCATTGATTTACTCATCTAATGCCATATAATAAGATTGTCATGTAATCTTAGATTTTAGTTTTTTTTCTACTTTTACTTCTTATAATAGTTTTCTTTTATTATTTGTGTTGTTCGTTCAAATATTTTCCAAATATTAAGTTAGTATATATTCTCAAAAAAATGGAAACCATCAAATTAATTATCCTTAGCCTCCGATCAGAGTTAAGCAAATTAGATGTAAATAATAATTTCATGCATTGTGAGCTTTTTAAAGACATGAACTTGAACTTGTCGCTAGGTTAAGGGAAATATAACATACTATATGACAAACCTAGCTATTTCTAAGCTACAAAGATTCATCATAGGCTTAAGAAAGCTTCTCACAAAGGGTCTCTTTATTTCATATTCGCTCCAAGGAGGCAAAATCTAACAATTCATTATTAACCAATATGTTTGGCCCAGAACTTGTTGCTTTGTCGTTTTATGTCAATGGTATTTTAATTAATGATTTAAAATCATTTCTTTATTGTATTCTAAATTTAAGGAGTTAGGTGACCTTAAATGGGTTTCCTAGACTTAGGATCACTTGATCTAAAATGTGATTAATCCTCTTACAACGTCATTACACTTTGTAGGTTCTCCAAGTCATCGACTACCTTGATAGCAAACCGAAGACTCACATGGACTCATGCACCATACTTAATATGATTGATATGATCTCTTCCAATATTCTTCTTAATATAGATAGATCATAGGATATCGCTTATAACCCACATGATCTCAACTTGATATCATTTTTGTTGTTCCCAAATTAAGCCAATTTTTGTTGAACCCAAGGCTTCATATCTTATGGTTCGCATCATTTACTTTTTTTCTTATATCCATGTCTGATTAAGGCCTCTTTTATTATGTCATTTCTCCTCTTTGACTAAATGAATTCTCTAACGTAGGCAAAGGATCTTGTTTGGACAACCAAAATTGAATCATTAATTTTACAAGTTTGTAGACGAATCTTTGGTTTCATGGAATGCAGAGAAGTGACGTACAGTCTCATGATCTTCAGTTTAAGAGGAGGATTTCATCCAATGATGGTGTTTTGCAAGAACCAAGATGCTATCCACATTGCCACAAATTTGATTTTTCACAAGGGAACATAACACATCGATATTGCTTGTTAAATTATGTAATGGGTGGGCACAAAAACCTTATATCATTTTTCTTTGAACAATAAGTTATCGACCTTCTCAACAAACTACTATCGAAGCCATCTTCATTCTGACTCTTATCCAATATAGGTTGGGATTTAAATAATTAGATTGGCATAAAAAATTTTTGATAATTTTCATCTTCTACTTATTAAAGACTTGTAAGAAGATGAAGATAACATATTACTATTTTTATATAGATCAACTCTACTAATTGAGAGAAGTATTTTTTCATGTATAGACAAAAACAATATATATTAATGCATTAGAGGAAATGTGAAGCCAAAATATCAATGAAAGAATTACATAGTGCCAAAGAGCGATCATAAATAACAAGCACATCACTCACGTCTAGGAGATCACGATGCGAGATCACGATGACTGGCCCAACTAGACATCTTCCTACAAATAGTTATTTGTGAGATGCGAGGAACGAGATAAGCTAATTCATTCAAACAACTTTTTTTGCCTTTTATTTAAATAAATTTGAAATACACAAACTCGAATTAATATGCGGAGATCACGATGACCAACCCAACTAGACATCTTCTTACAAATTGTTATTCGCCAGATGCGAGAAACGAAATAAGCTAATTCATTCAAACAACTTCTTTTGCCTTTTATTTGAATAAATTTGAAATACACAAACTCGAATTAATATGCCTCAACTTATAATGAAATTATCATGCCATGCAAAGTATGTTCGAACTTTGATTTGAACATTCGAAGTGGATTCAAGTATAAACTTAATACTATTAATTTTTTTCATAATATATGTACTTAAATTCAAAATAATATTTGATCAAATACAAATTTCTATCATCCCTACAATCTTTAATTATAGTAGGCTTAAATCAGAAGTTGAGCATATTATGCCATAATCATGTTCAAGTGTCAACAAGAAAGCTCATGACTCAATCATGAATGATCAATGCTAAGTTGGCCTAGAATTTTTTATTTTTATCAAATTTGATTAATATTCTCATTCTTAAGTATCAATATCATTGCGAATGTTTTATTTCTGTTGAGAAATTAGGGCGAAGAAAAACAAGAATCAACACAAATCCAGAAGAACACACAGAGATTTAACGTAGTTCGGCAAATGTGTCTACGTCATCGGGAGGAGAGCGGCAGTTTTCTTTCAACTCTAGAAAAAGGTTACATAATATAGGATACTCTCTAGGGTTACAAACAAGCATATATATACAGCCCCAGAGTAAACTCTGAAGAACAATATGTAATTGCAAAATTACTCTTGTACCGTACAGCGTGGTGTTGCCCCTGCACCCCCAACCCACATAACGAAACTCTCTCGATTGGACAGATTTTTCTGCTCCGCTCCGCTTCGTTTCAACATCTGTCCCTCATATGATATATGAGTCATACCTAACAATATCAATTCCCGCTTACATCAAATTTTTATGGAAACACTCAATGTTAAAATTATAATACTTGAAAAAAAAAAAAGCTAACTTAAGCCGCAAGAATTCAATAATATTAATTTAAGTAATTTGCATAGTTACCCCTATTAATTTCTCCACGTGGCACCTTGACCATTCCCATTATTATAAAAACCCCATAAATGATAACAGGTTATGTATATTTTATAACCCATTCCTAATAAAGTTCCAAACAATTATTCACCAAGATTCGAGATTAATTTCTTAATAACACCCAAACTTCCCATTAATAATAAAAATAAATAATACCCCCACCATACACGACACGCGTCATATTTCTAATGGCCAACAAGAAACCCCTAAATTCCCGGCCCCACACGGGATGACGCCATCCACCCATCAAAATGTGCACACGACGGAACGCTCCTCCTCCCTCCATAAAAACACCGCTTCCCCTACAGCAGATAACAAATAAGTTCCTGATGCTCATGTCGCCGGAAGATCTACAGGAGTCCGACGTCCTTTGGCCGGAGCCCCGCCGCAGCTCGATATTTCCATCATCGCCTCTTCCCATCACCACCACCACCGCAAATCGGCCGATGAAGTTATCGGCACCCATCAGAATTCCCCAACCTTCGTTCCGTTTCGCCGGCGGCGACGAATATATGGACAGCGATGGGATGATTCCGCCGCATGAGATGACGGCCCGGAGGTGGGCCCGGGAGAGAATGGCGTGCTCCGTTTGCACGGGAGAAGGTCGCACGCTCAAAGGCCGCGATCTCCGACAGGTGCGAAATGCCGTTCTGAAGCTCACCGGATTTTTGGAGGGATAACGTTCATGAAATTGGAGAGCGGAATACAATTTATTATTTTTTTTATTAAAATTTGAGGATTTAATTAATTGTTAATTTAAGAGAAGATTATTATTTAAGTAAATAAAATAGTTTTTTTTTTTTTTTTTTTTAAAATTTTTACAGTTTTTTAAATGTTTTTGGGTGGGTGATGGGATAGAATGGTGGGAATTACTTTGTGTTATGTTGGAAGAGTTAAATTTGTAATTATTACACATATTATTGGTATTTTTGTAAAGTTATATATATATATATATATATATTATTTGTTATAAGAATATGAAAAGAATGTCATTAATTTGGTTTGATTGAATTAAATGGAGTAGTAATTTGGTCTTTTTTTCAATCACTTCAAAGTTTAAGAAGATTTATGTATTTACATGTCTAATATCTAAAATAGTAATGATTTTGATTTGATGTGAAAATTTTGAATGGTATAAATATAAGAAATAAAGTTTAGGTGTTGGATATGTAAATTCATAATAGTTGGGTGGTATACTGTCAAGAATGAAAATGCCTCTTTTTTTATTATAATTGAACAACCAAGGACGAAAATATAAAGGCATTGGAATAAAGGAAAAAGTATGGGATGAGAATATTTTGTAAAAAATTAATTATAATTAATTTTGAATTATTAATCATTTTTTAAAGATGAATCTAATACAAAATGAGAGAAGATGAAAAGACTAATATAAAAATTTAGGTGACGTAAAACTCATAATGTGTATAGCTGTTATAGATTGGCATTTATGATAT